AAGGCGCCGTCTGCCTCGATGACCGCGTGCAAGCCCCTCTCCCAGCCCGTCGCCTCGGCCACGCCCTCCTCGAGCTCGACGTCGGCGAGGAAGAAGCTCTGCGCGTACTCGTGCCCCTCGTACCCCAGGCCGAGGCTCTCCCGCACCATGGACTGCTTGCCGTCCGCGCCGACCGCGAACCGCGCGCTGAGCGAAGTGCTCGTGAGAGCGGCCAGCGCGGGCGGCAGCGGCGGGGCCTGGGCGGGTGGACGAACGTACACATACCGCTCGACGGCCACGGTACATCGGCCGCTTTCATCGGCGGCGGTGTCGTCTTCGCTGACGCCCGTCACGCGTGCCGCCCGCAGGATCTTCCCTCCCAGCTCGAGGTAGCGCGCGCAGAGGTGCGCCTCGACTATGTTCTGGCCGACGGCAGTGGGCACATACTGGCTCAGTCTCGCGGAAGTGAAGCCGGTGATCTTGCCCAGCCAGCCCCCGTTAGAGCCCAGCCGGGCTAGGCCCGCCGGGCGGCCAACGTCGGCGATGGCGGTGCCGACGCCGACCCGCTCGAGCATCTCAAACGAGCGAGGCATCGTCACGGCAGCCTTGGAGCCGTCGCCATTCTTCAGGTGCGGGTCGATCAGCACGCAGCGCACGCCCTGGCGGGGACCGTGGGCGAGTGAGCACGCAAGGAACGCGCCATTTGCGTTTGATGTGTGATTGCGGCGGCTGCGCCTGGCTCTGCATGTAGCATCCGATCATCAGCCCGACAGGACCTGCACCAGACACGACCACGTCGTACTCCGTCCCTGGCTCTGGGAGCGGGTCAACGTGACTGTACCCCGAGTCGACCATGATGATGACGATCGGTCGGCCGTCTTCACGCCCTTGTGTGTATTCCCCGAGAATCAGGGCGGCGAGTAGCACGGGCTTGTTCGAACGCCGCGTCTCTCGCGTCACAGAGGGGAGCTGGGGCGGGGGGGAGGTGCGCGCTGCGCGGGGGGGGGGGGGGGGGCATTACACATATACCGGGTTTAAACCCAGTTTATCGTAAACAGGACATCTGGTTCGTTCGGGTTTAGCAGGGGTCTAAACTGGTTTAAACTGGTTGGCTTCCCATATGCTAAAATTCTTCTTTTAGGGGTACCTGTGTCAGTGCGAGTGGGTGAACCTTCTTTCTCTAAACCGGAAGGATTGAGCACCCTCCCTCTCAATCCTAAAAGTCAAAGGATTGTGAGCAGCACTCCTCGCAATCGTAGCATCTCTGTGCGATTGCTAGCACACACGCTCGCAATCCTACATTTTCTAGGACTAAAAACAGCTCCCCTCCCAAGGTGACTGGGGACGCCTACAACTACTACCAGGGCGCTCGCAATCCGAGCAAAGTCTACGGCCTTTTGGTTGGGCTACATGGCCGGGGTCCCAACTACAGCCTACGTCTCGGACAATTTTGGCCGGATGAAAACCACCATGATCTCCCTTTTTATCATGAAGGGTGGCGCGGCCCTGTGCACCTACCCCACGAGCGGGGTCATGTACGCGGCCGGCCGAATCACCATCGGCGTCGGCATCGGAGGCTTTGGCCTAAGCGCCTTCACATGGGGC